CTAAAACTGGTAGTTGGTTCCTCAGGAGAGGAGCCTGATAACTAAAAGATCTTTTGTACGTTGATTTATATCTTAGGACCGATGCCCTGGCCTCCATGCCAGCTGCTCTAACTGCTCTGTGGCTCCTAATGCTTGACAGGAAAATAAAGAACAGAAATTTGACAACAGTGGCTGTTTCAGGACATTTTCACAGGGGTGACCAGGCAGGAACTAGTGTTCACTGTGGGGTAACCCAAAACTAAGAGGCACCAAAACCAGTTCAGGGTCAACTTAAACTGATCACAATAAACCTACATCTGTGTTTTCCAGATAAATCAGTGAAGATAGAGCAGATTTTCATGAGGATCCTTGCTAATCAAACTGCTTAAATGAATCTGTGGTTCTCAATAAAAACATTAAATCCTACTGATGGTTAATGAGGAACCTTCAAGCCAAACTGTATTGATGCTGCATTGACGCTGTCACAGAATACTGCCCCCTGCTGGACATTTAAAGACACTACAGGAAGTTTATTAGACAAACTGAAATGAATTGATTTGATGACCTAGAACAATATCATTGAAATTATATTAGGTTATATTTTATTACTTCATATCCATGTTTAAATTGAAAATATCTTTGATATTTTTAGATGCAGCCAATAAATAACCTAAACATCACAACGTGAAAATGTAGGGGATGTTTGTGGACTAGGATTTTAAATCATAATTTTAAAACAATAAGAGTCAATTTGAAATTAACTTTAATTCAGATAAGTCAAGTGATAACTGAGAGGAAAATGATGACACAACAAGAAAATTAAAATAAAAACTAAACGACTGAAACCTTCCTTTTCCTTTTAGGCTCCAACGTTCTTAATCATTTTAATGATAAACACTAAAATATGAGACATTTTTTTAGCAGATGCATCATGTTGACAGAAACGTTTTTAAACAGAGTTTAATCAGAAACAGCTCCTGTATCGGTCACATGACTTTCTGGTAACTACACCGCTGCTCTATGGGCTCCACGCGCGCACCCACCCATGTACAGCAGGGGGCGCTATGCACCCTAAAGGGGCTTGCGATCCGCCATAATAGTAAAGAAGAAGAAGAATAGGTCTGATATTGCTGGTAGCTGGATGCTAACCAGCGTGTTTATTTTCCAGCTCCAGCCAACCTTCCTGTTTCAGTGTTTTTGTTCTGAGGAATATTATCCCTGCTGCTGAATGATGAGCACATTATGGATGGGCAACGTAAGTTTAACCCCGTTTGTCTGCGGATTAACAACATTAGCAGTTAGCGCAGCTCGCGCTCCTGGCGCAGAATGGAAACAATCCTGCCTGAGCTGATGTTATAGTTTTATTATAGATATTCTGTGTTAGAGTAGAGAGGTCACAATCTGCTATTCCTGTGCTCCGTTTTTAAACCGATACTGAGAATTTTGCTCTTAAGTTTTTTCACATCCTGATATGATAGAAAACCTCCTGCTTTGAGTTTAATGTTTATAACTTTAAACTTCCTGACTGTCTGCTCTGTTTATGATTTTGATCAGGATTGGTCCACACGATCAGTGTCCATGTAAAAAAAAAAAAAAGGTTTACAAACAATCAACCAACAAACAATATTTATATATCAATGCTTTGTCTTTTTATTAGATAAAATAAGTTTCCAGTTCATCGGCTTTGATTCAATTCAGTTTATTTCTATAGCGCCAATTCACATCACATGTCATCTCAAGGAACTTTACAGCTCAACCAGATCATCCAGACTGGACAGTGGAGAGAAAAACTCCCTTTGAACAGGAAGAAACCTCCAGCAGAACCAGGCTCAGTGTGAGCGGCCATCTGCTGAGGCCCACTGGGGTT